TTCAACCTCTACGCACAAGCTAACCGGACAAATGGAAAGTGGTTTTGTAAATCCTTACCTATGATTTAACCTAAGGTCGATCGTCGCAGCGGGCCTTTAGCTACCCCGACCTAAAGTCAGGGCTATTTGGATATTTTGCCTGTTCGAACCGTGGGACCAGGTCGTGGCCTGACCCCACAGGCCGTGTGTTCATTCAGTCTAATCCAGTCCAGTCCAATCTAGTTCTTCCGTTGAGGGTATACCTCATCTGCAGTCTGTATTGTGGCTCATTCAAACTGGGGAAGAGTACATCCAGAGAGCCCCAATGTTATGTCCTACGTGGACAGAATTAGGGAAATAGCACAATGGATTATCAATAAGGCAGAAGACAATATTATCATTCGGGGCATAACATATAAGATGTTATTCAAACTACGGATGACCAGACTGGAGCTTCAAGAAAGGACGAAAATGAAAGAGGCAACCGAGTTTCGGGTTATGGTACTTTGAGTTCCGCTACGAGAGATGTTCTCAATCGCAGATGCGATTGGACATAGCATGAGAAAAACTCTATGATCCCTCCGCAACCGGATCCGACGAAACCCAAGTTCATGAATATGAAGTTCGAACTGGTGGCAGAAGCAGAGGGTGCGTTCGTGTCGATGCAGCCTCGGATGCAATCGGGGAGCAAGCCCGACAAACATTGATCTTAGTTATAACAGGTATCCTATAAATGGAGTTAGGGGGACAACAGACAACAAATCGTTTGAATGGTCAGCCTTCATTACAACTACCAAGAATAACGGAGGCGAGAGATTTTGTGGTGGTCCAAGTTGTAGGAGGAAGCGGCGCTCAACTTGGTGAGAGGCAGGGGGCAATTAATCAGGAGAGGAGACTTCGAGGAGATGGAATACGTAGAGGAGAAAGCAGAGAGTTGGTCACATATGGCGGGGGGGAGAATCAAAACGATCAGATAGAGGAGGAGAGACAAGTAGAGGAAGAGGATGGGGACGAGCAAGACAGCGAAGAGGATTTCCCACGAGATATACATGATGGAGCCTTGAGTAGGATAAGGAACGTTCAACAGATGGAAGACAACTTGTCGATGTCACTGGTCTGTACACTCCAAGGACATGAGATTTTCATCCTCGAATTACAATCAGCAGACAAAAAGTTGTCTATCCCTTCGTGCCATGTGGTGGAGAACCCGTCACTTCAATTTGTAAACATGAAAGTGCACCAATCGTACTTTGAACGATTCATTTTTCAACTGTTCAGGGAAGGTTAGATTCATCATCCCTCTGGTGGATGTTTGCATATCGCCCAAGTCATGGAACTACACATCGAATATAGGCCTGTTTGGAATTCCGCTGTGGCTGTTGTTAGCAGACCCGAATGGCGAATTGGATCGAATCTCATGGGCGGAATCATTGTCGGCCCCGGGGCATATCTAATCCGCAGCCCATCTCCAACTTGGATATGGGGAAAATTAAAGTTGCCATTTGGAATATCCAAGGACTGGGGGACTCCCGGGGAAGGAAAAAAGGGGGGAGATTGAAAACTTGGGCGCACGAACAAAAAATAGATGTCATCTTAGTGCAGGAATCGAAGTTGTCTGTCGATAAATTAAGTCAGTTGAGAGATTGGTGGATAAGACCACAACTGTGGTCACCCGCTCAGGGCAGTCGAGGTGGTGTGGCAGTACTAATCCATAACAAAGTCGAGACCGTCCTATTGGATTCGAACTGTGACCTGTGGGGCCATTGGAGCTGGGTTAAACTGAAGATAGAAGGGGAGGATTGGACATTTGCAATAATATATGCCCCAAACGACCCACTCGACATAAACGAATTCATAAAAATGTTCTTGATAAAACTGCGGAGGACAGAGCACCTATTAATGGGGGGAGATTGAAACACGGTGTGCGCATCAGGACTTGACTCGAAAAAGGAGGAAGAGATGCAAGGAGACAGGCAGTATTTATTAATGTGGATGGAGAAGTGGGGCTTGCAGGATATATTCAGAGTAATAAATTCATTGTTGCATGACTTTATCTGATTTGGGAGAACGCCGCAATCGACAGAAAAAAAGTGGCATTTAAACGTTTTCTTACTAGTCTCGGACGCGGTAGCTGCAAACGTCTACATGGTCCAAGAGACAGATGCCGACTATCGGATCACAAGCCGGTCATACTGCCAACAAGTGTGGGGACGATAAGTGACAGAGGTCGTAGTTGTTCCACACTCAATACTTTTCTCCTCGAAGATGAAGGAGTGTTGAAGTGGGTGAGAACATTCTGGCAAGACAGGGAGTCGGGCAACGAGAACTTTAAGGAAATGCCTGGTTAGATGAATACAGACATCAAAATCATCTCCAATAAAATATAAACGTTTTCGGTTATTGTAGCCTTCTTAAGAAACAAGGAAGAAGCAGACTGCAAGAGGAAAGTGGACCAAGCAGAGAAATGGATGACACGCCACCCGATCTCAGAGCTGGTATGAATAAAAGAGAGGGTTAGTAGAATACATCATGTTTGGGAGCAACTGCAGCTGGAGAAGCACAACGGATGGGAGCAAGTACTGGCAAAAAAGAAAATCGTGGTTGAAGATCGTTTATGCAAGGAGACGTTCCAAATCTTACTTCCCGTAAGAAAATCGCCCCAGATGTAAGAATTGGTGCACCCCGCCTCACGTCTCTCCTACTAGCCACAACCAACGATGATCTATGCGACTACGCTATGACCTATTTTCACGAGATCTTGACCTCACGCTCGAGGGTTGCAGATCTAGAAACAGACTTGTCGGAGCACTTGGACGTCTGGGATTAGTTAGGTGTAACTCTAAACTCACAAGCTAGAGAAGCGTTAAGCAAGCCAGTTACAACGGAGGAACTCTGACAGACCATGGCCACAGTTGCAAGAGGTAAAGCGCCGAGCGATGACGACTTCAAGTTGGAGATGAAATTTTATAAGGTCATTTAGGAGGTAATGGCAGAGGACCTGGCGGTACTCTACAACGAGGTTTTAGAAGGAGGGAGATTGGGGCAGACCATGACTCGAGGCATAATAACTTTATTGTACAAGAAGGGTGACCGTAGCGAGGTCAAGAATTGACGCCTAATTTCCCTACTCAATTTCTCGTGCAAATTGTTGGCCAAGACAATGGCTAACAAGCTTGCAGGTTTTCTGCCGGGGTTGGTGGGACTGGACCAGGCGGCATTTGTGAAGGGAAAATCTATTTTTGACAGCCTGGCCATGACAATTGAGGCACTAGAGGTCATCAACAACAAGAACTTGGGAGTGGCCATGCTGATGCTCGACATGGAGAAAGCCTATGACCGGGTTAACTGGGCATTCGTCCTAACGACTCGACAAAAACGAACTTCGGAAATGGATTCTCCAATGGGGTAAAGGCACTGTACATATTTTCCACAGCTGTGGTCTAGGTCAACGGGTGGCACTCCAAGGAATTCAAAGTGACGCGATCTCTGAGACAGGGGTGCCCACTGGTCCCCCTGCTGTTCGTAGTACTACAACTGGAAGTGTTGTTGAATGACATTGGGTCTCGCTGCACTACTCTACTTTGCGCAAATTCGGAGAGTTATGCATCGCCGCACGAACTCAACTATAGAACCCCAAACGAAATTTGGAGAGCTGTCAGAAACCACAAAAGAATTGCACTCTCCGCCGTCGGAGAGTGCCCAGCCTGCAAAATCCGTTACGGGGAGAGACCTTCGAAGGAACCACCGATTTGCTCTAAATCTGGAAAGTGAACCTTGAGTCTGGGCAGACAAACGGGGACTTTGAGCTGTCGTTTTGTACCCTCGATAGTTGTAGAGTCTGAGTTTATAGAGTTAGTGCAGCGATGGCCCATTAGGTCGCACCCTCTGCTAGAAGGTCTGAAAATGTGCGAAGGGACGAAGTGCAGAATTAAGGCCTCAGCGGATGATCTGCTTGCCCTGTCAATTAACGAGAAGACCTCAATAGAAGCGCTGAAGGGATGTCTGGCGAGATACGCAGAACTATTGGAGGCGGCACTAAATTGGATTAAATCCATTTATTACTTGCCCCCCGACTACGAACTCTGCGTCGAATGGGGAATGCGCAGGATACAAGCAGAGGGGAGGCAGAGGCAGAAAGATTCCTGGGAGTACAGTTGGTGTTGAAAGATGACAATGGTCCTTGGGGACATCTGTTAAAATTGGAACGATACAGAGAAGATTAGCATGGCCCCTGCACAAGGATGACACACATAAATCGAGAAATGATCGAAATTAAAAAAAAAAAAAAAAAATGGATGACACTCAATGCATTTGCCCACACATCCGGCCAGGTTCAGGTGCGAACGCGTTCACTGCAGCTGCCCAACGGAAGTGATCACAGTTGTGAACGCAAGAACAGATCGCAACCGCTAAAAAAAAAAAAAAAAAAAAGATGACAACGTAGAAAACGGCCTCAGCTTCAACAGCAAACTGCAAAACGTGTGAGGCGGGATTCGAACACATATTCTACTGGAAGAGAAAGCCAGAGTCCCAAAACACATGAAAAAAAAGGATAAAAATGCTGGAGATAGAACATGCTACCGGTAGGAGCTAGAGAAAAGGCCAAAGTCCAGTCCTACCGGAATCCGAGAACGGATAAAACTGATGGAGATCGATCATGCGGCCACCGTTGGAAAAAGTACAGGTCCTGAGTTCGAACAACATGAAAGCCAGAAAAGGATGACTGAGGGCCTCGCCACACCACTCTCGAAATGTGAAAAAGACAAAAATGTGGCGGGTGCATCTGGCCATATTCTCGTAGAAAGTTCATTCTCATTTTGCACATTTCGAGAGTGGTGTGTCGATGGCCTGACTGATCGAGTCCAATCAGAAAGTCTCATGTCGGACATGATTCCTGTGAAAGTCTATTGGTATGGCCGGTATGGCATTTTGCCTCCTTCTGCGCCAGAGGATGCCATGCACTCACAGATGGAGAAATGGTAGGTCCAGATTTGCTTCTGAGGGAACTGCCGACGCACGCGAGCGAGCCCGGGTAGCACCGTGCGCACCACGCACCCACCACCTCCGTCTCCCGACCTCCAATCGGTTTGCGTGTGTAGCCGTTCCTTGGACCGAGGAGCGGGCACGAGTGCTGAGCTGTCTTGCGCCGCCGCGGGCACAACGGCGGGGGTAGGTGTGCGACACTCGCCGTCTGTACACGTGTCTGCTCGTCGTGCGCACGTCCCGACACCAAGGGGAAGGGGGGGGGCCAGCACGCAAGGCCGACTCTAGTGAGGGGACTGTACTACGCGCGCAGCTCGTTGTCGCACTAGCAGCGGCGCCGAAGGTCAGTTTCACGCTACCGCCGCCAGTCCGCTCTAACACGGTCGCGCTGTGCTCGCGTGTTTCCCCGTCCCCTTCATTCCATAGCCGACGCGGCGGCAGCCGCCGGCCGCTCTCCATAGCCAAGTGCGGCGGCGCATCTGCGCCCTCCTTCACTCCATAGCCAAGGCGTGAACAGTCGAGGCCGGCGGCCATAGCCAGGCAACCATGGCAGTCGCCACGGTGTCAGGCTTGGTGGCAGGAGTTCTGCGGCTGTCGGTTTCCGATCCTGTCTCCTCCCCCACACAGAAGGCGCGCTCCTGCTCTGTTAGGGCATCATCATCGCCGATTGGTAGCTACACGGGATTGAGAGCAGATTCTTCCCGCCAAAATCCCTCGTCCTCGTTCACGAGTGTGAGAGAGAGGGGGGCGGCGTCTCCTCCCTCTCCCTTCTCTCTTGGCCATGGGTTGACCATTCGATGCGCGCGAATTGCTGGCGTGGAGGTTCCTAACAACAAGAGAATCGAAACGTCGCTTCAGTACATCCATGGCATCGGTTTGACGACCGCAAAGGCAATCCTTGCAGATACCAACTTGCTCAATAAACGAGTTAAAGATATGTCGGAGGAAGAATTGACCGCAGTTCGGGAGGAGGTTACCAAATACATGGTGGAGGGTGATTTGCGGAGGTTTAACAATCTGAACATCAAGCGATTGAAGGACATCCGATGCTATCGAGGGATGCGACATATCAACAATCTTCCGTGCAGAGGGCAGCATACCAAATGCAATGCGCGCACCAGGCGAGGGAAGAAGGTCACTGTCGCTGGCAAGAAGAAGGCGCCGAAATAAGCGGGTCAGCGATGGTGGCAGCTGGCTGGCTGGTCTGAGATGGGGCCGGTTTGCGGGTTCTCTGCTGGCAGTTGAGAGTTGGGGTTGGGGGTGATGTGCTATAGTTCTTCCCCTGATGAGGCTATGTGGCTTGCTGCTCGTTTGTCTAAATGGTGGTGGATCGTCAACCTATACCTGGCTGTGGCTATTCTGTCGCTAGTTGGCTGTATGGCTATTTGGGTCGTTGGCTATTTGGTTATGTGGCGGTGTAGCTATGTTGCTACTTGGCTGAGTGGCAATGTGGCTATTTGTCTACGTGGTCCGTGTGTCCCTAGGCAGATGATGCGTCTACGTGGCTAATTGGCTGTCTGGCTACGTGGTTATCTGGCTGTTTGGCCATTTGGTTATGTGGCTATGTAGCTATTTGGCTATATGGTTACGTGGCTATTTGGCTATATGGTTACGTGGCTATTTGGCTATATATGGTTACGTGGCTATTTGGCTATATGGTTACGTGGCTATTTGGCTATATATGGTTACGTGGCTATTTGGCTGTATATGGTTACGTGGCTATTTGGCTATATGGTTACGTGGCTATATGGCTATATGGTTACGTGGCTATTTGGCTATGTATGGTTGCGTGGCTATTTGGCTATATATGGTTACGTGGCTATTTGGCTACGTTGGTCATGTGTTTCTGGACTGGTTATGTATCTACGTGATACGTGGCTATGTGACTATTTGGCGACGTTGCTCTGTGGCTATTTGGCTATTTGGCTATTTGGTATGTGGCCGTAAATGGGCTGTTCCATTCAGAAATGTTTAACTCTCCGGCCATGGGTTCCGGCTGGCTAGCTAAATAGCTGGGGGGCTATTTAGTGAGTATGCTATGCCTGTTGGGCTGTTTGGTTATTTGGGTTGGTGGCCCATACATAGAATCTCGGGACATGAGAAGATTCCATATCTGGCGGCGATTGCGCCTCATACATAGACATTTCAAGGATCCCAGCAAGCGAGGGAATGGGTGTGGGTCAAGGAGGAGCCCACTGTAGGTAGAGTGTCCGAGAGAGAATGGCAGGGAGGGAGAGGTATGGAGAGGGACAAAGGAAAGAACGGAGAGGAGAGGAGAAACAAACGCAGAGGCGGGAGGAATCAAAAAGAGAGGGACTCGGTTGGTTAACGTATGGGAGGGGCCCTTGAAACGTTTAGTCAGTGACACGTGTCACTTAAACGAGTCATAGGCATCGGATTGATTGCGACCAACCGAGGTATGTGCATACGTGGCGTATAGAGATTTCCTGATAGGAGTTAAAGAGAGTTAGTGTTGTTCAGTTCTAAACCAATTGTCCATTTCCTTGTTAACATATTTGTGTTGATCGATTTTTTTGCCGACTTTTTCTGTGCATTCGTGCGTGTGTATATTCATCTTTGTGTGTGTGTGTGTGTGTGTGTGTGTGTGTGTGTGGGGTGTGTGTGTGTGTGTGTGTGTGTGTGTGTGTGTGTGTGTTCGCGCGCAGGCATTTCAACGTACTGTGATTCGAGTCGGAGGAGAAGAGGTACGACATTTTTTGGGAAACGAAGAAGCAAGAAAAAGGTACAATTGGTACGCAGAATTGGAAAGGGGGGAGGAGGAATTACAGCGGGCCCTAGGTGGAAGGTTATTTTTAGTCTATCTGCACCTGGTCACCCCAATCCCCGGTCTAAGAGCCGTCATCTCTCTCTCTCTCTCTCTGTGTCTCTGTCTGTGTGTGTGTGTGTGTGTGTGTGCGTGTGCGTGTGTGAGCCAATAGGGTTCAGAGTGTCGGCTCCGTTTTGGCCTTGCCTCTCTTCGAGTTTCCAAACGGAGTTTTGCAGTCCGGCTTGGCCGAAGAGGAAACGAGAAAATTCCCTTTCTGCTGTCGTCAAGGTGCCGGATGTCTGCAATTCAGGAAATGCATCACCACCGGCAGGGCTGGGCCGTGTCGAGTAATAAAAGTAAGACGTAGAGAAAGAAGTGCCTCAATGGGGGTGGAGCAATCGAAAGAAGAATAGGAGGAAGAAGAAGCAGCAGCAGAAGAAATGTACCCCCAGGAGGAGGTAAAAGAAGAAAAAGAAGAAGAAGAAGAAGAAGAAGAGGAAAAAGAAGTAATGCCCCGGAAGGAGGAAGAAGGAATACAGAACAAGGAGGAAGATAAGTAATGCCCCGGGAGGAGGAGGGGGAGGAGGAGGAGGAGGAAAAAGACGTAATGCCCCACGAGGAAGCAGCGGCAGCAGCAGCAGCAGCAGCAGCAGCAGAAGAAGAAGAAGAAGAAGAAGAAGAAGATGAAGAAGAAGATGTAATGCTGTAGGAGGAAGCAGCAGCAGCAGCAGCAGCAGCAGAAGAAGAAGAAGAAGAAGAAGAAGAAGAAGAAGAAGCAGAAGAAGAAGAAGAAATGCCCCACTAGGAGGAAGGATAAGAAGGAAATGGAAGAAGGAATGGCTTACGAGGAGGAGGAGGAGGAGGAAGAAGAAGAAGAAGCAGAAGAAGAAGAAGAAGAACAAGAAGAAGAAGAAGAAGAAGAAAAAGAAGACGGGGGGAGGAAGGGAGAACGGGTAGTAGGAAAGTGCAAAATGAAGGGAAGTAGAGGAATACAAAGAGAGGATTGAACAGGAGAATGGGAAAGATGACGAGGAAGGAAAAGACATTTGGTGAATGGGAGCCGCAGGCTGCTGGGGGTGGGTTACATCCCTATCCCTAAGGAAAGCCAGGCCCCTATATGTTTTGAACCATGGCCAGCTCCACACCGAAAGGGCGGACACCGAATGCTCCAACATCACCCATAAACCTAGGTCCTTTGAAACATGAAGGTAAGAAGAATCTTCCTCCTCCTCCTCCTCCTCTTCTTCTTCTCCTCAGTCCCACTCCACTCCGCCGCATCTTGTTGTTGAACCTGTCACCATCATTCCTCCTAGACGGACCGTTCCGACATCCCCCAGCACGTGCACTGGTGGTATGGGGATCTTTATTTTGCAATTCATACGCCATTTCGTTTTTCCTTTTTTTTCTTTTTTGCTCGCACTTGTTAAGCCGTAGGTTGACAGAGAGCTGGTAAATTAAATTTCGTTCGAGTATAGAATTGGTTCATAATTCGTTCAAAAAAATGGTCATAAACGTTCTATTTGTAAATAAATGCTTATCCCCAAAACAATCGAGTAATTTCAGAAACGTGTAGCGGAACCATGTCAAAGTTGAATGAATCGTAAATGTGTTGGAGGTTTGGAAGCACTTTTTTTTTTTTTTTTTTTTTTTTTTTTTTTTAAGCACATTTTTCATGTGGCAAGCGCATTTTCAACACTTCCGCCCGAATGCTTATCACTCAAGCCTTTAAATACAGCGCAAAAAAAAAATGTATCCGCAGTTGTATAATAATGATTGCAAGAATCAAATATATACCCTTTATCCCTCTGCCACTCTGTGCGATGTAAACTAGAGATACTGAGGCGTCCATCTGCATCCACACACAGACAGAAAGAGCGAAAGGGAGAGAGAGAGAGAGAGAGAGAGAGAGAGAGAGAGAGAGAGAGAGAGAGAGAGAGAGAGAGAGAGAGAGAGAGAGAGAGAGAGAGAGAGNCTGCACATTCGGATGAATGAGCGACAGCATTCAATCTATAAAAGCTTGGGGTGGTTTGTCGGCAGGGCAGGAACTACCCCTAATTCCTCCCGCCTCTGCGTTTGTCGGCAGGGCAGAAACTAAATGTTGACAAGATGGAGAACTTGTTCATCACGTAGTAACTGCTCCATCTGGTGCAGTGTCAGGACAGATGCAGCTTGCTGTAATAGTGAGCATGCCATGTATTCACTGGTGGAAAGGATAAGGTGCTCTTCACCCGCAGGCAAAAGATTTACTCCACGAGGGAAAAAAATGAAAGTTTATCTCTGGTCAGATAACTGATGAAATGTATCTTTGAAGCTCATGTCGGGAAGAAAAGAGAAAAAAAAAAAAAAGGATGCGACAAACAAACTCCTGTCAGTTTATCGGTTCACTTCACATGACCAAGTGGTCCCCACTTCTGACATTGTTGCAGATTATGTACGCCGATCAGATCATTCTCTTACGCTTTTTTTTTCCCTTCTTTTCTGGTCGGATTTGATTTATTGCTTGGATAGTGTCCTTATGGCCCTGATTCCACATTCGTAATTTGAGGACAAATTTTATACTGTAGTCTTGCTGCGGCTTGCATTCCTCAAATTTGTGTTCGTCTGGGATGCAGCGAGAGTACAGCCCATGAAAGGGGTAAAAAAAGAAAAAGGACTACGGCACAGAAGTTGGTTCTCAAATGGAGAATGTGGGATCAGGCACTAAGACACATCCAATAGAACTCAACGTTTCTTCTGGTTTACCTCTCTCTCTCTCTCTCTCTCTCTCTCTCTCTCTCTCTCTCTCTCTCTCTCTCTCTCTCTCTCGCTCGCTCTCGCTCTCAATTTATAAGGCTGTGTTTGGCAAGGGATTGTGGATAGCCAAGCTAGTTAAAAAAGGATAGTTCCGGATTGGGCCGCGTTGCTGGAGGAGGAAGCCAGGTGATCTATGTGATAGACAGGTGAAAGATTTGCACCACTTGGCTGATATGCTAGACTAAATGTTAGATGGGTGTCGATTACGGTGTTGCTGGAAGGGAGGATTCTTCTTAGATCGGAAGACGGGGTCATATTGTGGCAGGAATGTGGCAGGAATCACAGACAGATTCATCACAACGAATTGTCACGCGGTTCAATCTTCCAGATTTGTGAGGTTATGGACTTGTAGAAGCTTGCCCTAGCCTCCTCATCACAGTGTAGAAACTTGACTCCACAGCCTTGGGTGTGGATACTCTTATTTTAATTCTTAATACCCCCTTCAAGACGTAGCAATGTCGGAAGGAGCATAAGAGAAGAGTCTCCAAAAATAGAGGGAGTATTAAAAGTTAAAATAAGAGTATAAGAGAAGACTCTTCAAAAAAATAATAGAGGGAGTATTAAAAATTAAAATAATAGTTTGAAAGGAGGCGACGGTACAACATGTTTGGATCACAGGAAAAAAAATAGCTGAACTCGAATTTGGCAATGGGAAGAATGGAAGACTTTTTCTGTGAGAAATTCTAAGGAAAAAGACAGATCTGGGACTCTGGGAGTCCTATCATAGAGCAGTAGTTCCCGATATCTAGCGAGACTGAGGAGGAGAAGGAACTGAAGGTACGAAACGGAGGCAAGAGGTGCAAATGGACATGGACCATTGTACTTGAATGCTTCACCGGTTGCTCGTTGCGTGTGTCACACTGGCGCCCATAGAGTGGACACCAAATAAACCAACGGCAAAAAGACTAAAAAGTAAAAAAATGGATCAAAAACCCGAAGGCAAAAGTGTGTTTTCATGCAAAATTCACTATTTTCAGTTTCCAGGATTTTCAGGATTTTCAGGGCTGGCCAAAACAGTCGTCTCCAAGACTCCAACGAACACCAAACTCAGTAAACGTACTGAAGAGATTCTTTCGAATAATAATTCTTATTTGTATTTTTTTATTTTTTGTTCTTTTCTTTTTTTGGTGGACCTATAGCAAAATCAGCTCAGTTTCCTTTGCATATATGGCTACCAGATGCAATGGAAGGACCTACGCCTAGACCAAAAATAAAACAGGGCCAAAAAAAAAAAAAAAAAAAAAAAAGGCTGAAAAAAAAAAATCCCCAAATGCACTCTTCAGTGCTGGGGGGGGTTAACCAGTGCTGAAAAGTGGGGGTCCTTGTTAACCGCTGGCAGTGTTTATTTAAGTTTGTGTTGCCAACCAAGTAGCCGGTGGTAAATCAGATGTGTACTCCCCCACAGAAGTATTGAGTCGTCTATCAGACGGCCATGTAGGAGAAAGCAAAAGTAGAAAGAAGACTTAGTTTTCAATCCATCAGTTTCCTGCTTTGATATGCATAGCCTTGGAAGTGATCTCTATGATTTCTCAGTTTGGCTTTTCTGTCTTTGGAATTTCTCAGTTTGGGTGTCCTGTCTTTTTTTCTTTTGTTTTTCTGCACCACTGATGGTTTGGACATGTAGGGCAACTGTGTAATACGTATGTATAGGCCAACGTAGGCCACGTACTTAGCTAACATATAGGCATTATCCAACTTAGGCCACATACTTAGCTAATGTACAGCCTGCATTAACGTGGATAATGCCTATACATTAGACAAGTATGTGGCCTACGTTGGCCTACATAGGGATTACATACGTTGGCCTGCGTACTTAGTTAATGTAGGCCTACATTAGCCAACGTAGGCCACATACTTAGCTAATGTAGGCCAACGCAGGCTGATGCAGGCTAAGGTAGGCCTCATAATTTACGTTGGCATTATGCACAGGCCAATGTAGGCTGATGCTGACGGCAAAAACACGCAAGAACAATGAAACTACGATCATACTCGGACTATGACTGTCGGGGGAGATGCACCAATAGATGGAGCCATCCAAGCATGCCCCAGTTAACGAGGATGCTCTTATCACCTCGGTAAGTACCCTACCTGCACTGAAGGTTCACCAAAAAAACAAAAAAAGAAGACTGTCCGGGGAGATGGGTGGGGGGAAGCTGATGTGGACTAGGGGATACCGGGGAAAAAGAAAGCAGATCTGCTGGAGTGTCACAATGGGGATCGGGGAGAGGAGGGGAAGGGTGTGAGTGTGGTGGATTGCATCCATGTGGCTGAATGTATGAAAAGAAAAAACTACAGAAACTACTCTACACTACTCTGCTCTATTACAGTACGGTGCTTCATGGCCAACAACACGATCTGCCATGAGAACAGAAGTTAAGCGTATGCCACTTTGTTTCTTCTTTGCCTTATGTCTTCTTGGAAATGCTCTGCTCCCAAGATGCACGGACAGCATTGCTGCGATGTTGGACACCTGCTCAAATGTATGACAGTGAACATCAAATACATGAAGATAGGGTGCTGAATACTCCATTCAGACAGTACAAGGTGCCCTTAACAACAAAGGGACTCTTATATATTGCTACTGGCATTGATACTTTTGAGAATATAGATCAGGTCTCACGCCCTTCGTACGGGAAAATAAATAGTACATCAATGATTCTCATGGTCCATACTTGCTCGAGTACGTGATGCAGGTGTGATGTATAATATAGACATCTTTGCTAATGCGCTAAGTGTGGAAGGTTTAGCTTTGGGCGATCTAAAGCTTATCTTGCATTGCCACACATTGCTGTAAAGGTGATTGCGGCGTGCCATTTGCTCTAACAAAGGGCCTATTATATGCCCAAATTGGAAAATCCGCTTCTGTGGAGCTCCACCATTTGAATTTTGTAGTCTTTCGGGAGTGCAAAGTAAAGATGAATGCCATTTTCCCAAACGTGGACACCAAAAGAAAAACTCCTTTGCATTGGTTTCCCTTACTTGGTTAAAGGAAATGCAAACCTCTCAGGGCTGGATGTATTTGAGAATTCAGCCATTATATGCACCGTTAGAACAATGACCACATTATGCTTAAATCTATGTGCATGATTGGCGATATGTTGAAGACGGTGCAGAAGTCAGACTGGGCTTTATGAACCTCCCTTAGTCGATGAAAAATAATGAAGGAAATGGTCTGAAAATTCTTTCCATGTGGATGATTTAACTATTGATTCAACACGATCCTTACATGCAAGATTTCAAGGGTGTAAAATGTTGGGAATATTGATCAAATGCAAACTTTTGGTTATCAATTCTGATGTCAGGTTGTACATGACCATACTAAAAAGGTTTGCACCCTCCTATATAGCGACCCTCCGCCTCAAAGGATTGTGTTGCAAACCATAAGTGGTCAGATTTCATAAAGTCGGCAAGTATAATAGTTAAGATAGTTCATTTAACTTCATTGTATCTTGCTCTTTCACATGGTAAAGATAAATGGTTTTGTGTACCTGATGTTCAGTGACACTAATGACATGCAAACCTCGCTTATTTGAGCTATTATGATAACCACGGGTTGCCAATCACGAGGAATATCAAAAAATGTAAGAATTTGGAATTTTTAAGTTATATCAAACTCATAGATTGCAAAGGAATGTTTTTGGCCTTTACATTTTACTCACACAAAGACCTTATAGAGGTGTAACTTATGTGAAGAACTTAAAATAATTTATGTGGTTATGCAAAAAACAGCTTAAGACCTGTGTACAAAGTTTTATTTGTTTGCAGATGGCAAGTAATGAGAGGAGTGCATAATAAGTATGGTGTATATGTGATGTCCACAAATATTATACGAGTAACTCGTAACAATTAAGGTAGTTATATAAAAGGTGGTTTAAAACAACACTCCATTTGCTTGTACATGACAAGTAATGCGAGGAGCACATGAAGAGTAGGGTGGCATATGTAATGTCGAAAAAAAAAAAAAAAAAAAAAGAACTAATTGTCATATTCCTCCTATTTAATTGTATAAATTATCCAAAGATGGTATTTCATCATGCATGTTATTTGCAAATGTAGGAAGCATGCATGTGAAAATTCAAAAATATTAAGATTTTAACTAGGCTACCAGCCGGGCCGCCCGGATCACCTTATTTTTTCGGGCGGAAGGTCCTAGCCAAAAACAAAAAAAAAACAAAAATAATTTAGAAACTACAAAAAAAAAACTAGTTATGCAGAAAAATACACTGAGGAAATTTTGCCTCAGGGTCATATCGAAATGCTTTACCAAATTAAAAATAAAAATTTAAATAAGAAATATCTTTTATTATTTTATTGTTTTATTTCTTTTTGGCCCGGTCGGGAAGTGGACCCGGGCCACTCTGGTAGCTTAGGATTTTAAAATATATTTTACAGGTATTAGCTATAAATTATAATGAATGTACAACGCATTTAAAAAAAATAAATAATAATCAGGGTAACCGGTGTTCGGGATGGGTCGAACGCTCGAACGTATGGGACCCTTTGGGGATGCGTTCAGCCGTTCGGGCCGAACGTGGATCCAAAAAAAAAAAAAAAAAAAAAAAAAAAGTCGGTAAAACAATCTGAAAAAAAAACATGTTATGGAAAAAAATCAATTAAACAAGATTTGCCTGAGCATTACATCCGAATTCCGTACCAAATTGGAAATAAAAATAAATAACAGAAAATAAATACTAATAATAAAAATAAATAAAAATAAAAAGAGAATTAAATTTAGTGAGTGCGCGAGCACGAATTCGGCACTGCCATCTTTGGCGATGTTTCATTTTTTTTTTGGCATGACTAAATGCCCTGAAAATTTACAGATGTGTACTTAACATAATACAAAACCCACTAAAAAAGTTTCGAAAAATAAAGAAATTGTTTAGACCCCGAACTAAAGTGAAAACAAAAAGGAAAAAGTGAAAAAATACGTGGGCGAGCACGTTTTGACACCGCCATCTTTGGCGATTTTTAATTTTTATTCGGCTAAGCCAAATGACTTGAAAATTTACAGGCATGTACCTCACTTCATAGAGAACTCACAAAAAACAATTCAGAAAAAAAATATTATTTTAAGGCCCCGAAATATTTTTTGGCGGGGGCTGAACGCCGTTGAGTTCGAACCCCGTATGGGACCCCGAACGCCCGAATGTACGGAGGTCTGCCCGGGGAGCTCCGTACGTATGGGCTGGTGACCCTGATAATAATAATAAAAATAATGAATCTCCATTGTTAGAGTTGTATAAATTAAGGACTGTCACTTCAACTTGCAACGAATGATGTTTCCACAATTTGATACACGAGTTTTATGACGAGTTTACTTATAAATTCCAAATAATTTAATATATGAGTCGTTAAACCACAACTCCTCTGGACGTTGAAAATTAGGGGGGACGGGGAGCACGAAGTGAAGGGTTGATAGACTGGTGAAAATGGAGATTACAAATAATTGCCGCCACAATTAACTTTGTGGTTGAAATATATATATATTTTTAATTTTTTGAATATTTTTTCAAAAAATAACATGGCGACATTCACGGACACTCCTAGGCTACCAGAGTGGCCCGGGGTCACTTGCCCGACCGGGCCGAAAAAATAAAAATAAATAAATATTATTTTATTTTATTTTTTATTCTAAATTAGGTGAAGAATTTTGATAGGTCCTTGAGACAAAAGTTGTTCAACTTATTTTTCTGCATAACATAGTTTTTTTTCAGATGTTTTGAATTTTTTTTAATTTTTATTTTTAGCACGTTTTTCCTTGCATGGGCTGGCCACCCGGGACCGGGGCGGCCCGGTTGGTAGCCTAGGGACGCTCACAATTTTATATGTTTTTACGTATTCTTCTGAGCGTGAAAAATCGTTGACATTGGGGTACTTGTCCTATTTGCTCACAATTCATAGAGTGACAAAAATGAAAAAGGATCCGAAGTGGCGTGACATTTATTTCACGATATAACCCAAATTTATGGACCCTCAAATTTTCTTAGTTTTTTAAGCATTCTAATAGGTGCTAAAAATTACGGAATTTGGGGTACGTTTTTCGTTAACCCACACATTGTAAAGTGGCAAAAATATAAAATGTGACGAATTGACGCGATATTTATTTCACAGTCTAAACAATTTTTTCCCTATTTTTATGATATTTTTTCGCAAAACATAACGATCTAATGTACAAGATCTTAAAATTTATGTTTTGTTTGATACTTGTTTTGCGTGCAAAAAATCGCTGAAGTTGGTGATTGAAAATGGTCGAACTGGACCTTATTGGCCAAGACTCCCTTTATAAAACCCATCCTAACTCTCCAGGGTGGTATTTTTTGATTGTCTAATGGAGTTCTGCTTTAATACAACAATTAACTTATTTGTCTTTTCTTTTATGCATCATAAGGAACGGGCAAAATATTTTTGATCCTTGTTAATGTTATTGTTTTCTTTTCAAGAAGTTAGATAATACACTGAGTAATTTTTGCGACTCACTGCTATCTTATACTGGTAAAGTGATAGTGATGTTTGAAGTTTCCAAACACATGTTGTTAGTGATCACTTTGAACTTTATTGCAATAAACTTCGTGTAAGTGAATATATACATGAAAAGGTTCAAATTCATAGTCGCTTTGCTACAACATGCAATTATAAAAGATACGCGAGTCCTTTAACGACGAAGTCCATGAAACCACCTTTCAATTGAATAATGACTCCTAGTTAAGGGAGATAGAGAGTATGAAATTTCTAAGTATCAAAGATAAGGTTATGGTTCAACTGCCTGCATATATTTATATAAAGGATAACACTAGTCATCTTATAAATTATATATTCTCATATCTGAAAGACTGTGGTTTTCTTTCAAAGTAAAAAAAAAAAAAAAAAAAGTGATTATGTGTTTGAAAAATCAAGAAATAACCTATATTAATGATGTTGCGGATAAGGCAATTGAAAATGATATTAAATTAAAAATATCAATAAATTTTATTAACTCTTTATACCGTTTCTAACTGCCTTTGCAAAAGTTTCGCCTCAAGAAAAACATTCTCACTATATTGATCATAAATATTGGTTGCAAAAGTGGTGTATATACTTATAATAAGAGGTGGTTAAAAACTATTTTCACAAAGTTACATATTGGTCAGAGGCAAAATAGTTTTTGTACATAAAATCAGGTTAACCGACGTTCGAGACGAACCGAACGCCCGAACGTACGGGACCCCTTGGGGATGCGTTCAGGCCGAACGGAAACCGGAAAAAAAAAACTATAAAAAACAATGTTGTGGAGAAAAATAAAATAAACAACATTTGGCTTAGTATTACATCCAAAATCCTTACCAATTGTGAAATAAGAATAAAATATGGAAAATAAATAATAATAATAATAAAAAATAAAAAATAAAAAAAAATAGTGAGTGTGAAAACACGTTTTCAACACCCTTATCGTTGACTATTTTTCTTTTGTTTTTGGCATAGCCAAATGCCATGAAAATTTACAGAGGTGTACTTCACATAATACTAAACTCATTAAAAAAGTTTCAAAACATAATAATATTTTTTTTAGACCCCGAAATAAAGTGAAAACAAAAAGTAAAAACGGGCGAGCACATTTTAACGCTAACATTTTTTAAGATTTTTATTTTTGGTTTGGATTAGTAAAATGGCGTCAAAATTTATAGGCACATACCTACCTCACATCATAGAGAACTTAAAAAAAAAA